TAAGGGAACGTTTACCAGTCCTACTGAGCATGTTGAAGCAGGTAGAGAGGGCAAGCACTATTCGAAACATACTGCAAGTAATGATGATCAAATACAGCTACTGCAAATTATATGCATAATCTGTGATATATCATCTAACGTCATCATAAAAAGAAGCAGTTCTCTGTCATTGACTTTTGGTACATAAAGAAGTTCCATCCAAAAACAGTCAGATGATTACACACGAATTAACCAGGTCCAACTTTTGGAATGTCATAATGCTCACTCATGTTTGCCAGATTCTGGTTGAAATCCTGGATTCTATCACGGTGAGATTTATTAGCTTGCTTAGCCAACCTATGAACATCGAGTTGCTCCCTCTGCTCAATGTATCGTCTCTCTGCAGGGGTAAGATGATCATCATAATGAGGAGCCTTCCTCTCCCCACTTGATTTCTCAGCATCATTGTTATCTTCTTCGTTCAGGTTAACAGAAACTTCTGTGGTTCCACCTACATCAAGTACCAGCTACAATTATGAGGTCAAATAAACTGATTATAAACAATACAATGATCATAGTATGGATTCATGATACATATATATGTGTGCGTGTCCAGTAAAAAAAAGCAATTCAGACCCTAAGTGCTTAAAGCCCAATACAGTACCTTTTTTTAAAAGGGTAGGCACAAACAAAGCCAACGTGATTACTGTTCTCCTTGATTTCTTTAGTAGTAAAAAAACAATGGATTGTATCATACTTTGGCTTAATATAAAAATATAAAAATAACTACCCAAACTAAATACAAAGTTAACTTTTGATGACTAAAGAATTTTTCGTTAAAAATAAATGTAAACTTTTCTACGGTTAAGTGATACACGTCACTTAACATTTTTAAAAGATATGCACATAAAAGTGTAACGGAAAAACGTTAGAGCACCGAAAGTTAACTTTGATTATAGTTTGAGGCTTTGGCCACTTATTTTCACATTAAACACCGAAAGTTAACAATGGATTGTATCATATTTCAACTTCTCAAAGTTTAAGTACTTGGTGAGAGACATGGAATCATAAAAGAATCATACATACTTGCCAACAAAACAAAAAAGAAAACATTGCAAGCAGGGACGGACCCATAAATTTATGTCACGGATACAATCTTAAGAAGTTATATTAAAAGTTTTAGGGGTGCGAAATTATAAAATTTTTGGGAGTGCGAAATTAGATGATCAATATAGCATACAAATAGAAAATCTAAAACATAAGAGAATTTGAAAATTTTTTAGGGTGCGACTGCACCCAGTACCCTTCTGTCCATCCCTGACTGCAAGTTTGAAAAATAAACTAGAGCACTCTATTGAGTTTATTAGTGCCTAGAGTGCGCCCTTGCCATTCTCAGTGCTGTATTGTTTTAAAAGCCATTTGACCAGCAAAAAGAACAAAAATAATGTTTCCCTTGAAAACGTTTTTGCGAATCTCTCTGGGAACTTTCATGGGGTTAAAATATGAACATTTTAGAGAATTGACCTTAGGCAGTATCCACATTGTAAGAAATCAGAGTAAAGAAAAGAAAAGAAATGGCCATATTAATGTTAAAAAAGCAATGTTGGTATAACTCTTTTATTTTACGTATCCATATGTGAAACTCCTAACCCACACACACGCGTATCCAATACCCAGACCAAAGTCCAATAATATTATCAGAAAATGAGAAAAGAAAACAGACCAGAAGCAGCATCAGAGAGATCGTTTTGGGTAACTTCGTCGTGATGTTGAATCTGTTTCTTATGTTTCTTTTTCTTCTTGATCCCACCAGCCTTAACAACTAAGGCTTTTCCCTTCAGCTTCAGCTTCCTACCTACGACATTCTCGTACGCCGACATTTTCCGTTCCCCCTGAAACCGATTCCCGAATTAACATCAGATTTGCAAACCATAGAAAATGTTAGCGAAAATCAAATTGATCACTCACTTTGTCGGGTTACAGATTCCGATTTGAAAATAAATAGATCAATTTGAAATCGAACTTGTAGATTCTATAATCAACTGAAATATCTAATGTCCGATTCTCTCAAGGGACGTCAGCAGAATTATGATTTCTTTCCCGGGTCTAAGGTTCAGGTGGTTCTATAGACGACTTGAATCGGTTTTTAACTTTTGGGCTCACAATTAGAGGTGTCTGTTCCCACCTAACAGGCCCACGGCCTTGTTTTTTTTTCTTCTTTCTTTCTAAAAATAGGTTTGTCTATCTGGTCTAATCTGTCCAACGACTTGTCTTATTACTTAATCTCAAACCTATGAATTTAAAATTTTCGACGTTTGCGAATAAAGTAAATTGTGTTGGGAATGTCACTCTTTAACTTTATAAGATTTGATTTAAATTAATCGATAAATAAATAAGATATCAGTGATTAATTAAAAAAATATTATGCCTTGAAATAGTTTCAAGAATACAAGAAATTGTTTTATCCTTAATGACCCGTAGCGTAGTTTTCATACTCCAATCTAGACATAATTCTTGTTTTTGTTTTAGTTTTCTTAATAATATCAACGATTGATAAGTCAGACCGCGTACAAACCTTAAAATTCTTGCCCTATTTTGTTTCATAATTCTAATTCTATTTTTATCACTGATTCATAGCAGGATGATGATTCGTACAAATAAAAGCAGGATGACGATGATGTTATGTTTAGTTTATTAAGAACGTTAATTAATACGATTATGTTAATTAGGCAACAGCAAATTGACAGCTTTCTTATCCGTGTTTTCTCAGTTTTAATAGCACATATTCTAAGCTATAAATACGTTTCCACGTAATCTCGTTTACCATAGTTTAATGTACTATGACCCTAATTATTTGGTCGGTTGAAATGGTCCAAACACTAATGGACAACGCTGAATTTTATTCAGATTTGCTTTTTATAATTTTATTAAATAATTAAATAGATATTGTGTACGTCAAATGTATAAGAGCAGTTTAAATTTGAAAAATAATTTAAACATAACAATAAAGATATTTCAACATTTTTAAAATTTTTCACTAATATCGTAAAAAAATATTTCAGTACTTTTACTAAAATCTACAAATATATCTTAAATTAATACATTTAGGATCCTTTTGGTAAAGCTTTCAAAAAAATAATTTTAAGTAAAAAAAACTCGTTTTTGACCGCAAAATAATGCTAAACGGATAAAAAATGATGAAAAAAAATTGTAGTGGAAACGGTGGTTTTAAACTAACCATAAAATTTATGATTTCTAGCTTTTTCATTCTCAACTTCGCGTTTGGAAACAAAATTATAATTTTATTATTTTTACCCTGACTAATGCATGTGCTCTACTCAATTGTGTATTTACATTTTATTTAATAATTTAATACTAATATTTTAAAAATAATTTATTAATTTTAATAATTTATTTTAATTGTTTAAAAATAAAGAAACTTTATGGTTTATATATTAAAAGAATAATAGTGAGTTATATAAAATATATTTTTATCTGTATTTTTTTTATATTTTTGTTATAGCTTAAATTGATATAATTCATATATAGTAGTGATAACTTATTTTTCTTATTATAGTTTAAATTGATATTATTCATATATAAGTGTAAATATAATTTAAATGTTATATTTTCAATTTACAACATAATATCTATAATGAATATTTTATCTTTTTAAACTCACTTTTTAATAATAACCCCAAACAATTAAATTTTAAACTATATTTTTGTACAACACTTTTAAAAATTCATTTTTACAATACTTTTTAAAAGCCACTTTTTAAAAGCTATAATTTGCCTCAAGATTTTATTATCAAAACATATTTATAGTTAAACCCAAATTGATAAAAGGAATGTTAGGTTTTTTTATTAACCTAAGATAATTACAAAATAATATATATTCCGTTTAACAATGAACCCTCAATCATCCTACTATAATCTCTGGTGTTTGAAACCATAGTCTCTAAGAACAATAACAATTCCTTTAACCATTAAAGTACGTTGGTTCACACAACGCATAATTACTTGAATTGATCAATAAATTATAAATTTTATAGTTTTCATCTTTCAACTTAACACACAAACATATTTGGAGACGACGACTTTCATTTTTAAAGATAGAATTTAATAATCATATATAATAACCCTAATATAAGTACACACTTACCCTAAATCCTAACCAATCATCATCAATTAAAATTTAATTATTTGAATACCTACGTATACAAATTTCATTCCTCAATTAATTAATGAATTGAAAATAAGAACGTTCCAAAACTTACCATTTACTGTGAGTTGACCTGAGCAAATGTTAACTTTCAACATCATTGGGTGTTGGTTCAATTTGTCTAGATGTTAATACTCTGACTAGAAAAAGTTGTTCTTAAATTGCTTATCTTGACAATTCTTATGTTGAACATTCTTTTTAATTTATTAATCTATGAGGAAAATAGATTAAAAAATTTGAATGGACAAGAAAATTATTAGATAATCCGGCTCACCATGTTATCTGTGGTTTCAACCAACAACATTTTTCTATCTCATTTTTTATATGATAAATCTTTATATCTTTCCTATGTATAAATAAAGAGTTGATAATTATTTTAAAATTATTTTAAAATTAATGAATATGATTCACTGATATTATAAATAAACGGGTAGATGGGTCCGTGAAATAATTTCTGGGATAAGTGACACTAGTACAACCAATGAAAGTCTGGTTATGTTAGTTTCAGTCAAAATAGACGACTCTCTCCAAGTATCTCGTGCAATTAACCTGATTTTCCTCCCTGACTACTTGTTTGTATACTGGTGATATTCCTTCCTTTTTTCTTATATTCATTTATTATTTATTTATGCGGATCATATTATTTTGTACAAAATATCACTATTTATATGTTTCAGATGTCAAATGTTCTTCCATCTTTGTTTAAGCAACAACTGCATTAAAAATTTATTTGAAGGTCAAATTACAGATTAGAGAGCTATGGAGCAGCTTAGAATTTGCATTTCCCTGACATTAATGTGGTGGCTGCTGGAAATGACTGTTTCCGATCCTCAGACCTATCTGCTCAATCAAGGGTGCAGTCGGTTCAACGTGACTAGCTTTTCCGATTTTTCTAGAAACCTAAACGGAACGTTAGCAGAGCTCCGAGGACAGTTAGAGAATGGCATGTACTTCGCGGTGGCTCAAGAAGCAACGGGTTCGGACCCGGTCTACACCATGGTGCAGTGCAGGAATTACATGTCTAGAAGAGACTGTATCTCTTGCTTCACTACTGCTTCGTCGCAAATTCGCAGCTGCTCCTCCGCTAACGGTGCCCGCGTCATCTACGACGGTTGCTTCCTCAGGTGTAACTTTGATTTCTTTCAGCTACATGAAATCATGAACCACTTAATTAGACTAAATCTTGAAAGAATCATCCATATTTATAATTATATACGTGCTTTTTTCATTTTCGGTGAGGTACGAGAGCAACATGTTCTACCAGCAAAGCACACAAGAGGGACACCTTGGGAATTGCGGGAACCGGTCAGCGTCGCAGCATACTATTTTCGAAACAACAGTGGGAAGGCTATTAGGGAATCTTGTAAGGGCGACGCCAAGGATCGACTCATTCTTCGCCGCGAACAGCGAGGAAGTGGTTGGTGTAAACGGCAATGTAACAGCGTACGGAGTGGCGCAATGCATGCAAACCATCGACGAGGCAGGGTGCAAGGCATGTTTGGATGTGGCTTTGGCCAATATTCGAAGATGCCCGCCCGATTCCGATGGTCGAGCAGTTGACACGGGATGTTTTCTAAGATACTCAGACTCCCCCTTCTTCCCCGCTAACTTCACCATTGATCTTAGGCCCTTCCTCACAACCAGTAAGACTGGATCAATTGACCGATTGATACAGAATCAGTTGTCTGTCCACTTGGATTTATATTATTTAATTGAATCAGTTAAGAATTAATATTATTAACGTGAATAATTGAATTTAACTATGCGCAGGAAATAGAACTAAAAGGAATGCTCTGATTGGAGGACTGGCTGGAGGTGGAGGTCTCCTTTTGCTTCTAACTTTAATATTGTTTTGGGTCAGAAACTCAAGAAACAATATTGCAGCTCCTCAAGGTAACATAATCTAACCTATTTATGGGTAAAAAGTAAAATTATGTGATTAACTTTTGATTAAACAAACACACGTTGCAGAGGATGTAGAGGGGCCACCTGAATTGCAAGGTCCAATGACTTACACTTATAAAGAACTGAATTTTGCAACCTCAAACTTTAGTCAACAAAATAAATTAGGAGAAGGAGGTTTCGGGGAAGTATACAAGGTAAACATAATTTATTTATTTATTATAATATAAATGGAAGGATGATCAATAAACCAACCTTGATCGTCAAATAAAGTTTACATTTAAATACAATCTAAGCTTAAAAATTCATATTTAAATTTCGTCTAGAATATCACTACAAAAATCCAAATTCAAGGCTGACTATTCCATAATTGAATTTTCATTTTCTTTTGCATATTATTGTGTATAAATATAAAATATAATTAATACTTATTGAATATAATGATAAAATATTGTGTTTTGATAAATATTAGTATGGTAAAGGAAAGGAAAGGAAATAAACTGAATGTAAGGTTAAAGAAAATAAATGACACATTTAATTTTTATTTAGATAGTTACACTGATAAAGGAAAAGAAATAAAAGTAATTGTATATCTTATTTATGTAAGTAGTGAAAAGGAAAGGAAATTATTCGTTTTTCGTATATCTTATTTGTTGTAGCAAATTAACAGTTTATTTATTTGTGTAATTTTATTTATAAATTGTACAGATAGTGTAATCACATGCAGGGATAAACTTAAGCATGGGCGGTCGCCCCTTAAAAATCTAAAATTATCATATATTTTTATATTTTTTCTATGCATTTTTATTGAAAATCTGTTTTCGCCTTCCTCTGAAATTTTATAAGTTCAAGTTTACTCCATTAACATAAAATTCTGTTTTCGTCTCTGATCACGTGAAAACACTAAAATATCATACAGGTTATACCTTCAACCTTGTTTGTTTGACGTAGCAGTTTACTCAACGTTGAAATTACTTTTATGCTGTTTCTTAAAAAAATGGAATATTATAGTAATATGTTAATGAAAATAAAGTAACAAAAAAATTGATAAAATGATTGGCATTACAGGGCACATTGAAGAACGGGAGGGTAGTAGCAGTAAAGAAACTAGCAATAGGCACATCAGAAAAGGTAAAAGCAGAATTCCATACAGAAGTGAAGCTTATAAGTAATGTTCATCATCGCAATCTGGTTCGCCTCGTTGGCTGCTGTAGCAAAGGCCCTGAGCTTCTCCTTGTCTACGAATTCATGCCCAATGGCAGTCTCGATAAGCACTTATTCGGTAATTTAATTCTGATAAACCGAATCTCGATCGTCGTGGAAGTTGTGGATCTTGAAACCAAATCTTGTTTATTTCAATTCGTCGAACAGGTGAAGGGCATGGTTCTCTGAACTGGAAACAGAGATACGATATAATACTGGGCACAGCAAAGGGAATAGCTTATTTACACGAGGAGTTTCATGCATGCATCATCCACAGGGACATCAAACCCAGCAACATTCTATTGGACCGAGATTTTCAGCCTAAGATTGCTGATTTTGGATTGGTCAGGCTTTTACCCGAGGATCAAACTCATCTTAGTACCAAATTTGCGGGCACGTTGTAAGTTTCCCACCCCAAATTTCTACTCTTTTTGGTAATTAGCATGCATATGTATATGGTTAATGAATGAAGCTGGATGGAGCAGTGGATATACAGCACCGGAATATGCAATGCATGGGCAATTATCGGTGAAAGTGGATACATATAGCTTTGGGGTGGTTGTGCTTGAGATAATCAGCGGTCTAAAGAACACTGAAACACCTCTTGATCCTGCTGATGAATTCCTTCTCAAACGGGTACTTTACTCTCCCTCGACCATTCTGCTGAGTTCCTTGTTGAGCTGCTAATTCTTATGGGTTTTAAAAATATACTCAGGCGTGGGGATTGTACCAAGATAACATGGCAATTGAGATAGTTGACAGAAGCTTAAACCCAGAGGAATATAACGTAGAAGAGATGAAAAGAATGATAGAAATTGCTTTCTTGTGCACTCAATCATCGGCATCATTGAGGCCTACAATGTCAGAGGTGGTTGCTTTGCTTAAAACAGTGAGTTCATTAGAGCCTAGACAGCCCACACGACCCGCCTTCATTGAATCCGAAAGTAGGGTTAATTATATTCCTCATGAGAGTTCCACTTCCACTTCTTCGTCTAATGCTACCAATTCTATCACTCAGGTCTCTGGTCGTTGATTTTCTCAATTCCCCATGTCATCATGCATTGCTTTTCTTTCTTAAATTTTCGTTTTCTCATTTTGTTAACTATCATATATAGAAACCCAAGAAAACTGGCTTAAAGAATACTTTTTACTTACTTTTACAATTCAGTACACGACTTTTATAATAGAAATATAAGCAACCATCATCAGCTAACAATCCTAGCTAACCAACTTTTACAACAGTCTCTAAAAGCTCTACTGACTTAACCACCTCAACACGTGACTAGCATCAGCTATACTCAATATTCTCCGTGCTTCTTCAACCCTTCATTAATTTGCTGCACTTGTAACTTTTCTCTGAACACATCAAAGAAGCACCTAGACAACGGCTTTGTCAACCCATCAGCAATTTGCTGGCTAGCAGGAACATAATTCACTTGTAGCTGCCCATTCTAATTCACTTGTAGCTGCCCATTCTCGACCTTCTCCCGAACAAAATGCACGTTCAAGTCCACGTGTTTGGATCGAGTGTGATAAACTGGGTTTTGACCCATTGCAATTGCACTGGTGTCGTCGCACCACACAACTGGAACCTCTTGTCGACCCACATGCATGTCATCAAGAAGAGCACATATCCATGTTACTTCAGCAGCCGCATCAGCCACAGTTCGGTACTCGGCTTCCATGGTAGAGCAAGAAACAGTCTTCTGCTTTTTAGAGTTCCACTCCACCAGATTTGAACCAAGAAAAACACATTTTCCGGACACAGATCGCCGGTCATCCGAGCTACCTCCCCAGTCCGCATCAGCAAAAGCTACCACACGCAAAGCAGGCGAGGCAGCAGTGAAGACTAAAACATGATCAAGCGTTCCAGCCAAGTATCGAAGAATGCGTCGAACAACAGCAAAATGAACTTTGCATGGAGCATGGCTGCATGCATAAACTGGGCAACTTTATTAACGCTAAATGCGATGTCCGGGCTTGTGTGGAAGACATACAACAGAGAACCAATGATACTACTATATTCACGGGTATCACATAATGGACTATCAGCATCTCGAGTTAACTTGGACATCAACATCATGGGTGTGGGTGTGGGTGTAGGAGTAGCATCCTGCATTTTGGACTTAGCCAACAATTCCATAATAAACTTCTTTTGGCTTAGTACAAGCACACCCTTGCATCGTTTCACCTCTAAGCCAAGGAAATAATTCAATGGCTCTAGATCCTTTAATGAAAATGCCTCATTTAGCTGGTGCACCACACGATCAATTACAACACTCGACTCACCTGTAATAATTATGTCATCGACATATACGAGTAAATATGTGAACACTCCTTCACACTCCTGTATAAACAACGAAACATCCACCTTTGATTCCGTAAACCCCATAGCACGTAGGCACTCTTTCAACTTGCAGTGCCAATTCTGAGGAGCTTGACGCAAACCATACAGTGCCTTGTGTAACTTGCATACCAGCTCGGTGCCATCAGATGGCTGCTGTTCAAACCCCGGGGGTTGTTGCATAAAAACATCCTCTTCGAGTTCTCCATTGAGGAACGCATTGTTAAAGTCAACCTGTCGCAACTCCCAATTTTTCGGTACAGCCAGAGCCAAGACAACATACAACGTGGAAAACTTTACTACCGGACTGAAGGTGTCCTTAAAATCTTGACCGGAACCTGAGAAAACCCCTTTGCCACCAATAGAGCTTTGTATCTAAGAGTTGTCCCATCTGGATTCTTTTTTAATTTGAATAACCACTTACAGCCGACCACCGTTCTTCCTGCAGGCAACTCAACAAAAGACCAAGTATCATTCTTTTGCAACGCCTCGAATTCAGCATTTACTGCTGCTGTCCAGATTGGTGACTGCAAAGCTTCTTGAATGTTTGTTGGCTCCATATCATCACAAACTGCAACAAAAGTCTTAGGCTTGTATGTAAATACCACATTTACTCCTCGTGAGCATTGGGTGCTTATTCACCTGAGACCCTTCATTATTAATCTGCTGTTCAGGCACCTGAATATCACCTTGCTCAGTTTGTTCACCAGCCACAGTAGTATCATGCATTCCAGTACCAGACACATGGGATTGGCTTTGCATCACCTCGTCAGGCAAAGTGATTGACTTTCCACTAACTCATCACTTCTGGTTGCTGGAACAGAAGTGTTACACTCCAAACGCTCAGACGTCGAGGGTTCATTTGCATGTTTCTGTGAGGCCAATACATCAGATTGAGACACATATACTGCCATGCATGACCAGTGCAAAGCCTGCGAACATCTGTCACGACTGGAAAGGAATGAGATTTACGAGAACATGCACACGAAACTGATTTTCTTGATTCGGACTGCCCCTTATCTGTAAAAGGAAAGATATGTTCATCAAATAGCACATGTCTAGATACAATAATTCTCCCATCAGCCATAAGACACTGAAATCCCGTGTTGGGGACTATACCCTAGAAAGGTTCATGGTTGAGATCTATACTCCATCTTATGAGGGTTGAACATCCGTAGGTGAAGAAAACACCTACACCCAAAAACCTTCATGCTACCAGAATTTGGTCGTTTACCAAACAATTTTTCGAAAGGAGACACTCCCTCAAGAACACGAGTTGGTAGTCTATTTATCAAGTATACAGTTGTCACTACAGCATACGACCAGAACCGAAAGGGTAACGAGGCTTGAGCAAGCAACACCAAGGCTAGTTCAATCACATGGCGGTGTTTCCTTTCAACTACCCCGTTCTGTCGAAGCTATGCGGACAAGTAACCCTATGTGCGATTCCTTCCTTAACCAACAGTGGTGACAAACTTCTATACTCACCTCCCCGGTCGCTTTGTACCGCCTTGAATCTTTATAGCTACTCCAAACTGAGTTGCTACCATCTTCTGAAACAAGCTAAACGTTGCAGCAGCCTGTGATTTATCCTTCAAAATATATAGACCCATGTATGCCGAGAATATGCATCTACATATGACATGTAATACCTATAGCCGCTAGAATTGATATGAGAAGGTCCCCATAGGTCCGTATTAACGAGTTGGAATGGAGCATTGTACACAGTTTGTGAATCAAAGAAAGGAAGCTTATGGCTTTTACGCATTCGACAAGCAACAAGTATTATTCATTGATTTTGAAACATTTACATAAATTGATTTACACACTTTAACAAGTGTATCACAACTTGGGTGGCCTAATCTCCTATGCCACAGCTCATAGGAATTTAAAGAACCATGCACAGAATTAACCTCAGCACAAAAACTAGGCTTTAAACCACTCTTATTGACATCGAACACGTACAGATCACCATTCTCCTTGCCTTGAAGAAGCACATGCCAGAGACTTCATCTCGAACACAGCACATATTGGCATGAAATTGAAAAAAACACCTTGTTACCCCTAGCAAGCTTTGAAACCGAAATTAAATTTTTCGTTATTTTCGGCACATGAAGCAAGTCATTCAATATCAAAGCAAAAGAAACAGAAGAAGATGAAGATAAAACTGCTCTACCAACCGTATGAACACCTAAAGAAACTGCATTACCAACAATTAGTTTACCTGGACCCGTGTACTCAGCCTTGTGAGCAATGTTGACTGCATCCAGTGTTACATGGTGTGTGTAGGTGTAGCACCCGAGTCAACAACCTATTTTTCATTAGCAGTAGAGGCTCGATGACCGTGAGACGACCCAGACTGCCCTTCAGCCACATAAGCACGATATCGACTAGAACAACACTCACAACCATGACAATTATCACTAAACCCAGCATAGTTGGCAGTTCCAGAATCTTCCTTAACTCGAGACTGCCCTCCAGAAGAACTAACACCAGGAAAATCTTGATCAAAACGGTGCCAACACCTGTCAACCAGGTGTCCCGTTTTACCACACAATTGGCACTGCACACGAACTCGACCTCGACCTCGGCCGCCACCACTTCCTCCAGAATAGAAGGGCTGCTTGTAATGTTTTGAGTCATGATTCGCGGACGCCTTAGAAGAATTATCTGAGATCTCCAACCGAGCCACGTTAGCACTGATTGGCAAACTATCAAATTGCTCATTGAACCCGGCCAGTTGTGCTTCAGCATCTACTAAAACATTGCACATTCCTTCCAAGGACGGCGGTTCACGAGAAGCAGTGAGATCAGCCATAAATGGCTGATATTCTCTGGGTAGACCTTTTAGAATACTCGTAACATGCTCCGAGACACGGGGCTCCCACAAGATGCTAAAGCATCACAAACTTCCTTGACACGGGTCAAGTAAACTCTCATGCTATCATCTCCCTTTTTAAGTGATTGCAATTTGTAGTGTAAACTCATTATCGCCGTTGTAGATCTGTTTGCAAAGAACTGCAAGACTGTACACCACACCGCAGCAGCAGTCTCCGCTCCGACGAACTGAGGAAGAAGGTGAGCACTCACCGTTGACAGCAACTAGAAGCAAGTGCACTATCTTGCGCCACAAATTCTTTATACTCCTCATTCACCACTGTAGCACCAGTACCATCTTGAATCGTTTCCGGTGGCGGCTTCATCTTTCCGGTGAGAAGACGTTCGAGGAGATGACTCCGCACAGTGAGCAACACTTGTTGCTTCCACAGAAGGAAATTCATTTCATCAAGAACAATATTCACCTTCTTGTTAGTGAATGCTTTCACATTTCTTAAAGAGAATTCCACTAAGAAATCATCAGAATCAGCACTGTGGTTATCCAAAGAACTCGGCATCTTCGAGAGAAAGAACGAACCCTACAGCTCTCCAGAACCCTCAGCAACTGATACCATGTAGAAAACCAAGAAAAGTGGCTTAAAGAATACTTTTTACTGAACAATTGCAGTACACGACTTTTATAATAGAAATATAAGCAGCCATCATCAGCTAACAACCCTAGCAAACCAACTTTTACAACAGTCTCTGAAAACTCTACTGACTTAACCACCTCAACACGGGACTAGCATCAGCTATACTCAATATCATATATCTAAAATCTGATTCCCTTATTAAATTTTCTATAACATTTTTAAAAAAGTTGTTTCATTCCATTGTCACAGCTCTTTA